CAAGGCGGAATGGGCAAAAATTTCAGTCTCTTGATGTGCAAAACTGATAGAGACATACCCCAAGTGACTTACAGCTGTAATCGCAGCAAAAGGTGGCGCTACAAAGTATTAACTTAAGGGGGCTGAATAATTTTGCACGGCCAATTTTTCAGTTTTTTATTTGTTAGAAAAGTTTGAAATATCCAATAAATTTCGTTCCACTTCATGATTGTGTCCCACTTGTTGTTGATTCTTCACAAAAAATTACAGTTTTATATCTTTATGTTTGAAGCCTGAAATGTGGCAAAAGGTTGCAAAGTTCAAGAGGGCCGAATACTTTCGCAAGGCACTGTATGTACTGGGTGGATGCATGTGGTTAGAGTTTTGGGTAAAAAAAAAAGTATTCACTGACTCAACCAAATGTCTTTCAGGATCAAACCATTCCACAAAAGCTGCTAAAGCCCAGTAACTGTTGAGGGGGAAAAAGCCATGGCATCATGTCCAAACAAAATGGCACTCAGGAAGGATGTCTGGTCAAACGCATTGTGTCCAGATGGGATACGCTGCGAGAGAGAATCATCCAGTTTTACATGCAATCTGTTGTTTTCTAGTGGGACCAGGATATCAACTGGATCCTGTGCTATTCACTCCCAGATGGTTAGAATGAATCGTCCAGTAAATTACACAGTTACTGCATGTGAGAGGTTTTTAACTCTATGAAGCTGTAATTTTTTTAACTAACAAACCAGAATGTTTGTTGGGTTGGACAGTAACAGAAACTACTCCAAAGAAAAGTGTGATTTCATGCTTTTGTAAGAGTAAGTAGGTACAAATAAGAGTTAAAAACAATCATGTGATTGTTAAGGGAAGCTGGTAAGAGTCATATTTAGTACACAGATTCACTCTGGATGTGGCTTTTCTCTCTCATCCAAACAGAATTTTAACTTTTCATGGTCAAAGGCAAGGAGGAAGAGAATCCAATCATTCTTTACTACTGTGAGCTAAAATGGAATCAGTCTTTCCTGAGATTCAGCAGAAATCAAAAGCAGCTTGAAGTGCTAACCTGCATCCTCCATCTGGTTTTAAAAATAAGAACAAAGACTTCTCTAGTGTAACTCTAAAATCTCTTGAGCACTATTTTCTGTACCAGCATTTCAGACTTTCCCATTCAATGCAATGATAGGTGATGTACTGAAACATTCTCACAGTGTGAGGCCAATAGCTGAATGTGCCAAAGAGTACTTTATTTGTCCCACACTGCGGTCGAGAGGGCTCTTTAAATTTCTGCTGTTCCAAATTAAAGCCCCAGCAAAGTACCCAAACTGTTTACTTATAAAGCTGGTAGAGAGGTGTTTGTAATTTATCACCCAGGCTTAAATGAGTGCCTGGGGTTCGTCTGGACAGGCATCACCTTATGAAGGTCACTGAGACAAAAATAACACAGCTTTGGCCCAGAGGAAAAACCCTTATGTGCCTGAGAAGATTTGTTAGTCAGAAGCTACAAATGCAGAGACACGGTCGAGGCTTTCATGTGCGCTGGATCACATTTACTCTCAAGCTCCGGCATTTTCTACAGGAAGCGTCCACTGCCTGACACCACACTCAACTCATATGCAACCATGGCATTTCAAGCTAAAAAAAAGCTTACCATCCCAGTTTTCACTGTGCAGTGAAAAGCAATAAATGCAAATCCCTGTGGACTCACGCTTTAGAGACGCTGCTTTGTGTAAAGAGGAGGTAATCACGCGTAACTGCTCAAACGTCATCTGGACATGGGAGTCATAAATGTGAGCCTGGCACTTGCCTCTTTGGTAGATTGCACTGTCAGGAGGTAAACAACAGAAAGAATGAGGAAGGGCTCATCTGATAGGAAATGTCAGAGCATGATTGGATTAAAAAAAAAAATTCTAAATTAGGGTCATTAATCATAAGCTGAAAAAACAGTGACAGGCCTCAAAAGCTCTCCTCTGGAACTAAGCCGAGTGCCACCCGGAAATTGTGCAATTACCTTAATACCTGATTTAAATGGAGAGTGGGCATGGTGGTGTCAATTGTTAATAGGGGGAAACAGCTTATATTATTTAGAGGTAATTGCCATCACAAGAAGTCTAGTCATCTTATCCTTTTTTTTAGATGAATCCATTTGTCTCAGATGTATAATTAAGACCACAACACTGCTGTGAATTCCCTTACTGTACATCTGTTGCTACCCTACACTGTGCAGATATAGCTGGTAGTGAATGTGATATGAAATATCTTTCTTTGACACAGTCAGATCTGTTACCCACATCCTGGCCACTAATACACATGTCAAGCGTCACATCTTGAACTCTATCATCTCTGCACTTTCAGATGGAAAACCAAGAGCTGTGCATTGAACAGAAGCTTATTTTGTATAGTCCATCTCTTCATCTTTCACCCAGTAACCAAGTTCAGTATAGCAGAGCGCACACAGCAATTAACTCGGAGCAGCAGGGTTTCCACTAATGTATCACATTTCTCTGATCACCGTGTCAACGTAACAAACTGCACCTCTCAGGTCGGCTGATGCAGAACGATGACATGAGGGCTGGAATTGACAGGGGCATGTTAGGAACCAAAGACCCCCCCTACCTCTCTCACCACAGGGGGACTAGGCATCTCCTAACATCCACTGACTGGCACACTGCGTGATGCAGTGGTTTCACAGAAAATCTAATCAGAAGTTGCCTGACATACGAATAACTTATTGCAGAATTAATTGATGCTTATTCCGCATGGATTATTGATATCCGTTGTGAAGTCTAAGCTTGTTTTTACCCATCTGAGCAAGGCCAGAGTGGCCCAGTTTAATGCAGTGAGAACAAGACTGAGGATGTGGGAAGATGTCTCATATCTAATTTCTTCCCCCACATGTACAATAGGTGAAAGATGTCTTACTCATTCAGTGTGTTCGAAAAGCCTGAGGTGTGTGTGTGCTCCTAGGCAGTCTCCTTATAGTTCTTGCTTGGTTTCCACAGGTGCAGTCACAGAGAAAGACGTGCACTACTTCTCAGTAGACTCGTGTTTGCATGACTAATATGAATGTGCAAATGCATTTATGAGAGAGGAGTACAGGGGCACCGTTTTCTATTGAGTATCATCTTAATTAAACCAAATTTCCCTCAAAGACTCTACAGGCAGCTATTTTATATTGCAATTAGCCATGCTTCATACAGCTAACCGCTCATCCACAGGTCTCTGCTGGTGTGCTGTTAAGACAATATTTTAGACTACTTTTCTTCACAGTTCTTGCAAAAGCAGCACATAGCTGGACTGCACTGCATATATGGTTTTATTTTCTCTGGATTACCTCTTCACTGAGCTATTGCTTTTCCCACAACCTTGCTTCATCAAATGGATAATGCATGCAAGGGCATTATTATGGCAGTAATAATGGCATATCCCCAGGCAAAGTGGGCTCCCTGGTCTGCTATGTCACATTCAGTTTTAATATAATTTTAGTGGTCACTGCAATGAGCGTCACAGCTCCCCACGGAAGCACTCTGGGTTTTTATTCAGTTTGTATTACCAGATTTTAAAAGTTACCACTGAAAATGTGTATGTTGCTAATTCCTCAAGTGCAGCCAGAGGCCAGTCTTTGTTTCTTCTGATGTTCCTGGCTGGGATTAAATAAGCAGCACAGCCAAAGTTAGCTAAAGAAGGCACTGTCTCATTTTTACACAAAATAAACAGTTTGATCAATAACTATGTATGACTTATTATTTCATAGAACTAGGGGTTTGATTAGCTTTTTACATGTATTTCAAATGTGCCACCCCTCTGAGTGTGTGCCCCAGCCTGGCCACCCCGTCCAAAGGTTTCTAGATCTGATCAGAGGTGAGACATAGTCCAACCAGAGATGATAAAAGGTGGTGATATTTCATCAGCAATGCAGATACCTAAGAAACTTCTTACACAGTGGTAGGGTTGTAGACCTTTCTTATTCAGTTATAGGACACACAGGAAACATCCTTTAAGCCGACTTATTTTGTTGAATTCATAATGTCGCTGGGCTCCCTGGGGTGAAGCGGGACATGCTTGTTAAACCCCTGAGGAAATGTTCTTAGGATGCTGCTTAAATAATTTCACCTGACTAGATGAAACATTGAGGCATGACTGTCATATAGCTAGTTAATGATAGTAAGTGATAATAAACAATCTGTTTTGAAAATGCAGCTTGACCTTAGTCCCAGTGGCTGTTGCTGGAATGTGATGTTAACAAACAGTAACAACTCGGCTGCAGCCACATGATGCTGCCCAGGAAGGTTATCGGTCTCAGGTGATTTATCTCTCTGCTACCTACAGTCAGAACATCTACCTTATTAGGAAACAGTTGCTGGTTAGTCATCAGAGAAGGGTGGTACTAGTCTGCCTTCCAAATGGCACGGGGCTAAAGCTTATCACCACTCACAGAGCGTATGGTCTGCCCTTGATAGTGAAGCATTCAATTATTAATGCATTTTCATCAATGCGTGTTGGTTCTAGCCAACGCTGCAACATCCGCCTCTCCATGGAGATTGTTTTTACACTTTGCCCAAAGATAAAGCCTCTTCCTGACCCGACCCCCCCGATGCTGTAAAACACCAGAAAGAGACTGGCGCCCCTGGAGACAGAGCCTCTGCTTCATGCCTACCAAAATACTCATTTGGCTTGTGACATCATTATCACCATCCTTCCCTGTTGCATGAATAAAATGTGACAAATCCCTCTGACTCCAATTAGGCTCTGGTTTAATTACTTCCATTTACCAAGGTATTAATTCAGATGCTTTTCCTCCAGCCCTTTAGTAATTCCAGTATGATGCACTGTCACACATAATTTCTGCACAGAACACAGTTCACAACTTGAAAAAGTAAGTCCACTGGCATCAGATGTGGCAGAACTGCAGCTCAGAAGGTAAAACAGACTTAATTGTGTTAACTTTGGATGTGAGGCAGAAACAAAGTTTGTCACACAGTTCAGCCAATAACAGCCTATCTGGCAGGTCAAAGCTCCACCAAACCAGCATAATGATGACGACCTAAAGCTGGCTTCTCCACATCCTGGCCACTATTTTCACCTTGTGCGCGTTTTGTATTTTTGGGTTAGTAGCTTTTTGTATTTGCAAAGGAAAAAATCTTATTCAGTTTCAGCCTGGCAACGTATTCCATTTCCTTGAGTCATTTAAAATCCATGGGAGTGAAATTCTGCTTAGGTGGATTAACGTGGCGAATAAGATCGAGTTCTTTATTAGACTTTCTGTTCTGAGTTGCAGACGACCGAGTCTTTGGCTGCAGATCCGGTGCAAACCGTCCAAAACTAACCAGCAGGAGTCACACGACCGCTGTGATGGAGGACAGTGGAGAAAACCTAAGCGGAAGTGAGAAACTAACCGGAGCAGGAAAACTTTTGGGGGGGAACCTGGAGACGGCTGCATTACATCGGAACTGCGTGATGAAAAGCAAAGGCTTTTGTAATCGGAGTTGCAAAGTGTGAAAAGCAGCTGTGATGGGACTCCCCACTTTGGAGTTCAGTGACTCTTTCCTGGACAGTCCGGACTTCAGAGAGCGTCTCAAATGCCACGAAATAGAGCTGGAGCGAACAAATAAGTTCATCAAAGAGCTCATCAAGGATGGGAACATGCTGATCAGTGCGCTCCGCAGTAAGTAGCCTAACGTGGCCTTTTCGCTCCTGCGGCTGCACAAATAAGCTTTAATAACTGTAATACCACAAACCCGCGGGCGACTTGTAATTAAAGGATGCGTGTGCGCGTGTGTGCGTGTGTGGCTGGCCCAGTCCTCTTTGCCTCTGGCCGCTGGGGGAGCCTGTAAAACTGTGGTCTCCCAATGGAAAACGTTCAAATTGAACAGCTTAGTCTACACACTATGATTCCAGGACGTTTGTTTGCCTTTTGTCTGCCTGTATATGCTTGAATTAAAAAAAAAGCCTAGAATAAGACCAGACTCTCTAATACCTAATCAGAATAACACAAGCAAACATATGGAAATCGTTAGTACAGAAGAGGAATTCCGTTTAACTCTGTTAATGAAGATGTTTTCGCTTTCAAGGCACCAATCAGAAGCAGAGACTGTCTTTAGTGACTGCATGAATGAGTGTCCTCTCAAATCCCACCATTCCTGTTCTGCTGGGTCCCTGTAGGGGAGAGATGTTTGGTCTGTTAGTGCCTCTCAAATGGAGAAAGACTTGGAAAACAGGACTAATAAATATGAAAAACATTTCTCTTGGAATAGGAAGGCCACAGCACCCACTAAACCACCACTCTGGACTAATAAATAATTTTAAAAGTTCAACCTGGAATGGTCCTGTCAACCACTGCCCTGGCAAATCAGATTCTTTTCACGCTTGCACTCTTTTCCTCACAGTACGTGCACTGTACAGGACACCAGTGTACTGTAAGTCACCAGGGTGCCACGAGTGAGTAGGCATATTGGTAGAGGTGCAATATTGAATTTCTTTCATGACAAAATCAAATATATACATGGTATTCAGCTTCGGAGACGCTGCATTACTAGTTTGTGCTGTATGTGACTGTGTTAACATACGTGAATTGCTTCTGTGCCTGAGATGTGTGTTTCACAGTATCGTACCATGTGAGCGGAAACCGTGATATGTCCATCTTGTTGTGTAGCGAGCACTGAGCCCAGTTATAATCAAGCATAACCATAAATGATACTCTGCAGCAACTCTCCAATGACCAATCAGGGACATCTTATAAAAGGGGCAACATTTCTTCAGAAGCCAGTTTGGCATTTTAGAGTTTCACTATGATGGGAAGGTGAGTGGGCACGGAAAACAGCACAGTAAACCAGTTAGAAACATGGGTGAATGTTGTGCACTTTGCTAAATGTCCTCATTTGCCCCCGTGGCGCGTCTCCCTCAGCTGCTCTGGTTAGACAGTGACCTTCTGGGTAGTGTGTTGTAGCTGTTTATAGTACTTTGGGTGCATTTGATATCAATAAAACCGGTGAGCAGCACATAGCGTTTGGATCGATACTGCTGTATTTCAAAGGATCTGTAGGGCAGCTTAAGTCCAGTCCTACAGGAAACCTGTTCTGTCAGTGGGCAGGGCACCGCAGGTGGACAGGCAGTGAGGGCAGCAGGATGTCAGAGGTCCATGCAGAGTTTAATACCAAACACCACCTTAACACTGCAGGATGAACTGTTTATAAGACGATGATAAGCAACACTTTGAGACTGATTTCTTTTGTTTGGGTTATTGGTTAAGGAAAATACCTAAGACCCTGTTGGATGTCCACCCCCCACCCCTCTGTGTCCCACACTCCAGTCTCTTGCAAAATTAAAAGTAAATATAGAGGAATGTTAATAAATTAATGATGAACTTTGATGTGAAATCTGTTGGACCAAACTGTAGAGCTGTTTGGAAAGAATTTCAGGAGTGGGTCAGTCCTTTAACTGGAAATCCCAGTTGGGTGGAGTGACAGACCAGGAAGTCGAGAGACAGAGGTAAGTAAATGTTGGTCTTTAACTTGGGACACTGCCGGGGTTTATGACCTGTCAGGAGACCTTTAATGGACCCTTTTTAAAATCTTCATGTCTTCCTGTGTTGACTTTTATGTTAATACATTACCTGTAAACTGGTCAATAAGGAAACCACACTGAGAAGTTTCTAGCATGTGTATCACTGCAGTACTGTGCATGTGTGGGGAAGTTGGTCACATGTATGTAAAATAGTGTATATTAGGGCTGTGCATTGATTGAAAATATTGTGGTTTTTCTTTCCCAAGAACCACTTGAACAAGTACAAACTACATTTCAGAGCCAAGAAGAACAGGAAGCCTCTGTATTATAAACAACAACAAAAATAACTTTGCACATCGTCTTTGAGGTTCAAAACAGTTTAACATTTTACAGTTAACTGTTTTAGGGTGTTGTACCCCGTACTTTTTACCGTACTGACTCTGAGAGACGAGACAGTCCAAGTAACTTCAAAACAGTGCTGATTTATTCAAAGGATCACAGGTAAAATTAACATTACACACTCAGGTATCTTGCACCTCCAAACGGCACGCAGGCAGATGTAAGATGAAAGACCCTGAACCCACCAGGCCTATACATTATATCCCCTCGGTTGGGCTAGCCCCATACTACACAGAAACGTCAACCGAGACGTCTCTCTTACCAGCTTTGCAGCTGGTCATAGCAGTAGTCAAAACATGAAGCAAATCAATGTGTGTGTGTCTGTTGATTAAGTGGTGTGTAGCTAAAAACATTCTCACAGACTTCTAGTAACATGTCGTGACTTAAACATAAGAACATATTATGGCTAAGGCTACAGTTATACACGTCGTAATAATAATATTAAACCCCCTGTCTGCTGACAGTCATCAACTCTTCTCTCTAGTTATCCTTGACCAGATGTACCCTGTAGAAACTCATAAGCATGACTAAGCATTTAACAGTCTAACTAGACATCCTGTCTCCACTAAACATTTCTAATACATAAAGTATCTATCCAATATCTATCTGACTAAAAATACCTAACAAGGGTAAGAAACACGGCGCTCAGCCAAAGGCAGAATTCAAGAGGAGAAGGTGAATCTGGGGTGTTATAGTCCAGGACACAAAATGCCTGTAGGTCTACGAAAGCAAGTCTTCAAAAAGTGTTCTTTTGTTTAATGTTAACAGTTCAGTGTTTGTAATGTGAACGTCTTTGCACTACGGAGGTTGAAGAGCAAATATTTTAAATGCTTTAGCAACTAAGGGACTTACTCAACCTTTACCTTGAGCTAGCACCTCTCTTTTAAAGGATGATGTGGCCTGAGAGTGACAACAGCCTTTCACAACAACACTGTGGTTGCAGGTGTGGAATATGTACTAGCCTACGCAAGCACGGTGGCTGTCCGCTAGGGCTGCCCCCTAATAGTTGGATAGTCGAGTCATTAGTCAAGAGACCTACCAGTCGACTATTTAGTACTATCAGGTCTATTTAGGAAATTGCCAAACAAGTAGAAAAGGAAAACAAAACCCACTAGGACAAGCCACATAAAGGTGAAATTTGTACTTTATTAGATGTGTTTTTAAACATTTCGATGAGGAATAGTAAATAAGACGAACCATTCACAGTGCAAGCTGGCACACATCACATGGTTAACTGACAGGAGAAGCTTAAACTAGGCTATATCCATGTCTCAGAAGACAAAAATTGCCTATAAGAGCATTGTTTCAACAGAAATACAAGTGTGCTGCCTGTCTTGTTATTCCGACAAGTCCATATGGCGGCCCAGTGTTGTGTTGAGTTTATTCACCACTGTAAAATTTGCTGCTCTGCTGTCAACATGACGTTGACACATGTTTGAGGAAGGAGACGGTGTTCGTAAAGTGCATTGTATGATTTGAGTGGCAGGAGACTGTGATTGCAGTTAGGAGATCATTTTGTTGGTTTCATCAACCATATTAAAGTTCAGTCACTGTAAAGTCAATGTGCGATGCAGGCACCGGGTTCTTACAAGTGGCTGTATTCAAGTTAACTCTGCTGCAGCTGTGCTCGTTTACATCATCAGTGGTGGTAGGTGCACTGCTAAACTGAAAAACGGTGGTACTGTAATATTTTGAGCACCTGGTTGTAATTTGTGACAGGTTTAAAGATACATATCCCCCCGTGGTAAATAACAACTGCTGACTTTTATTAATCCGTCCACTTGACTGCAGTGATTGATTACACTAAAGGCACTAATTATCCCTTTGAGTAGAGTGGGGGAAATCACAGATAATTAGCTAAGTCTGTTTACAAGCATGTGGACAGGTAGCCATCATTGGAGTCTTATGTTGTGTAGTTTAAAGTTATCTGGTAACATTCAAATTGTGAGAGAGTGTGGCTAACATAGGAAACCATAAGTTAGAACCAAAGTTAATACCAGTCTTCTCTGCAAGAAATCAAAATGCATATTTGTCAAAGTGGCACCCCACTGCTTTAAGTTACAAAGCTTAGTAGAGACAGAGTTTCCACAAAATAAAAGTTCAACTTCTCTCTAGAACTTCAAGTTTACATTTTTGGATGATAAGTTAGTATTTTAAGACTTAATATTGCTTCTTCAATTTTTGTTTTATAATTCTAGCAGGCCTGCAATTTTATCAAACAGTAGGTAGAAAATCCCACATGGGACGTGCCCACAAAAAGTAGACCTGTAAGTCCAGTATTCATTAACTCTTTAAATGGGGCTTGACTGCCCTGGTCCCAAGAACAATGTTTCAGACTTTTTGGCTTGTTACATGTTTGGCCTTTTCCACCAAGAGAGCGGCCATTATACAGTTTGGTCTGAAGGACAAGCTTTACAACATACTGTCATAAGACTATGGGTGTTGTCACAAGTACTATTAAATCCGGTCCAATCTGTACCTGTATTTTTGTGTCCCAGGTATATTATGGTCCAAGCCTGGTCCAAGTCCTGTATTTTTGTGTCCCAGGTATATTACATTTTTGTTATAGAACATACACAACATGGATCACATTTTAATGACACTGAGAAATGTGTTTGGAAAACTCCATTAAGGCACTCGGCTGGTCCCAGTGCACTGAACGAATCCTCAGAGACCTGTTCAAACTCAGGCAGCCTCTGGGCAATGGCATGTGTCCTTCACACATAATTTGTATTCATTTGTACTCATTTGTAAAACAAGGAG